AGGCTCAGGCAGAATAAATGTTGATTTCCATCAGGGAAGGTGGGGAGGAAAAAAAATCTGCTGGAAGTCCTAATTCTCCAGCAAAAACCGTCTGCTTTCCAATGGGAAAAACTCGGGATTCGGCCCCAGTTCCTCTTCCTTGGGAAGCAGGTGATGGGAAAACAAAAAAAAAGGGAGATTTTTTAGGGGGAAAAAAAAAAAAAAAAGGGGGGTTCTCGGCCCTGGCTTGTTTTGCTGACTAGAAATGATGGACCTGGTTGGTGGGAGATGGATGGAGCCTCTTCCCAAAGGCAGGGAAAAGCGGGAGATTGATCACGCCATTTGCAGGATCTCCCAAGCACAGAAGCGGGAAATGCTGGAGAAGAGACACCCCACACTCCCCCTCCCCGCTCCTCTCCCTTTCCCACCCCGTTTGCTCCGGGTTTCCCACCCTTGGAAGCGTTTTGGGATGTGGATTCCTTTATTCCCGCCTCGGAGCTTTGAGGGATGTGTTTGGAACGGAGCGTGGATGCTCTGGAGGTTCATCATGGTCAATTTAAAAATCCACCCCCTCCCCAAAAAAAAAACAGGAATGTGTATTCCTGCTTCCTTAATGTTTGAGGTGCCTTATGGAATTTTCTCCAGCTCATCCAAAGGGAATTGAGGCCTTCCCACCATTCCCACTGAACCAGGACTACAATTTCTGGTGGGGTAGGAATATGGAGATGCTGGTTTTGTCCCCTCAGGGTGACAACCAGCAGCTCCGGTCCTTAAATTCCAGCAGCCAGGGTGGGAGACATTTTTTTCCGGCTCATCCAAAGGGAATTGAGCCCTTCCCACCGTTCCCACTGAACCAGGAGCAGGAACAGGGACACCCCTGACTTTGACCCCAGCAGCTCTGCTGGACCCTAATTCCAGCTCGGGGTCCTCTCCCGCTTCCTGCCTCCCAAAATCCACCCCAAATCCTTCCTTTCTGGGCTTCTCCAGGGTCCCCGTGGTCCCCCCTCCGTGCTGGGTGTGTTTGGGAATGGTGCTGTGGAATTTTGTGGGAACGGGCACAAGCTGTGTGCTGCTCCCCCCGGAACATCTGGAGCAGGTTTGGGCTGGATTCCCTCCCTCCACTCTGTCACCTTTCCCACCTCCTCCTGATCCCAGGTGAGGTGGGAATTTTCCCACTAAACCTCCAACAGACTGGGTGCCCATTTTTTTCTGGGAAACCTCCTGTCTTTCCAGTCTTTCCATCCATCCCGGTGGTTTCTCTCCCGAGGGGCCACCGCTCTCCTTCCCACCCGTCACTCTGGCAGGTGGAACCCCCAGAACCACCTCTCCAAACCCTTTGGAGAGGGAGAACAGGAGAACCTGCAGGAAGGCGCCGTCCAGTGTTGGGTTGAGGCAGGGAAGGATTTCCCACCTTGATCCATGGGATGTTCCCGGGCTTGTCCTCTCCAAGGAGGTCGCCTCCCTGAGGCTTTCCATGAGCATCCAGGGCCCTCTCTGGAGAAAGCAGGAGCCAGTCACCTGGAGCATCCCAGGGAGGGTGCTGGGAATTCCTGAGGGATGCCTGGCTGGAGCCTGGAATAGGAGTGTTAACCCCTTGCTTCCCAGTGCTCTGCTCCTTCCGGCTCCATCCCAGCCCCGAAGCGGATCCCGGTGTTCACCTTGTGCTTCCAGTGGGAAGGATCCAAAAATCCTTTTGGGTTCTCTCTGCCACCCTTAACTTGGGAATTTTGCAGCGGATGGACGGGAAGGGACCTCCGAGTGCCGCTCTTAGGGGGGCTGAGGATCCTCAGGGATTTGGGGAATGAGCCAAGGGGGATACGGAGCAGAAGAGGAGCTCAGGACGCTCCCACCCCTCCATTCCAAGGGATTTCCGAGGTGGTCTGAGCCAACCTCCATGACTTTCTCCTCTTTCCTGCCTTTCCCCTCCCAGGCACCACTAAAAGGAAGAGGATTTTGACCCGGGAATCCTCGGAGGACTCGGAGAACACCCGTGTGGAAGGTGCCAGAGGTGAGGTCGGGGCGGAAAACCACCCCCATTCCCAGTTTTCCAGTGCTTTAACCCCTCCTAACCAGGCAAGGAGAAGCCTGGGAATGTCCAGGTGTGTCCCCCACTTCCCACCACCCCTCTTTTTCCCTGCTCTCCTTCCAGGCAAACGGTTGCAGATCAAGCCCCGGCTGTGAGGAATTCCCGATCCCGGGAATTCCCGATCCCGGGACAGCCGACCCGCTCAGGAACCGGAGAGCCGGGCACGACCTGGCACCTACCTCAGGACGCCGTGCCCAGGCACGGCACCCCCTTCTCCTCCCGCTTTTCCAAGGGGACACCATCTGGACAAGGAGCAGGATGGGAATACATTCGCTCGTTCCCGCCGGGAATTCCCGCCGGAAGCGGCTCTGTTGGGAATCTTTTGCGTTGACCAATAAACCACCCTTTGTCAGTCGGTTTGTTCGGAGGGCAAGTCCTGCCAGGTGAAGCTCCTCGGATGTCCGTGGGGTTGGGAAGAGCTTCCCGTTCCCGTGGGTGTCCCAGGCAGGGGCCGTGACATTCCCACATCCATGGCATTTAATGGGATGTGAAGCCCCCACTGCCCTGATCCCTCCATCCTCCACCATTCCATGGCTTTTGGGAGGGGATTTCTTGCCCAGAGCATTCCTAAAGGGAATGTGTTTTTGGGAGCAGTGCCGGGCTCTCACCCCGCAGCGTTTCGGGGTCTGGTTGCTCCTGATTCCCGCCTTTCCTCATCCCAGCAGGACACCCAGACCGACTCTTCCAGAGGGTTTTTTTTTATTGGAGAGGGAATTACATCACCAGCACCACAGCGGGGTTTGCATCCATAGGTACCACTTCCCAGGGATTTTGGGGTGGTGGATGCTGTTCCCTCCCACGGATGGGATTTTGGGGACACCCCGGGGGGCATGGCGGGATTTTTCGCCCCTCGGGAGAAATCCTGCGGATAAAAAGAGGCTCAGCAGGGGCGTGGGGAGCGCTGGGGCTCCCTGAGGACGTTTCCCGGGAACGGGATGGGCTCAGGTGCTCGGCGGATCCGGGAAGATGCCGACGGCGACGGCTTCGCCTCCCGAACACCCCCCCGGGGAAAACACCCCTTTCCCAAGAGACCCCCCCGGGGTGTGTGTGTGTGGGGGGGGGGGGGGTTGTCACCATCCCAAATCCAGAGCATCCCCCCAGGGATGGATGGATCCCGCCCTGGGATGTCACCTGTACCCCGAGGCGTGTCCCCAGAGCTGTTTTGTAATGAAAAGCTCCGTCGTCTCCGTCGCTGTGAAATGTCTTTTATTAAAATTCCTGTGTTTTGGTTTGTAAATAAAGACTTTCCTTCCCAGGGGGACGGGATTGTGGCTTTTCCTCTCTCTTTTCAGCGGGAACATCCCATCCAAAATCCGGCCAAATCCAAGGGAAGGAGCCACTCCAACCCTTAAATATCCAATTTATTTTTTTTTTTTTAATTATTCCAACTTTTTCGCCCAGAAATGACATTTCTCCACCTAAAAAAAAAAAAAAACCCCAAACCCACTAAATTCACTAAAAAATCACCCCTGAGGAGAAAGAGCCGCGAACCCTCCGGGATGGCCGGAGTGGAGCTCTGGGATTTCCCATATCCACGGATCCCTGACGAGGATTAAGCCTCGTGCAGCGCTAATTAAACGAGGCAATGAGTGGCTTCCATCCTGGGAAGGCTGGGAATTTGCCACTGTCTGTCATTAAGGCTCCACTTGGAGGGGGGGGGGTGATTAATTTCCAAGCTGGGACCGGCTCGAGGCATCTCCCAAAATCTCCCGCCAGCTCCAGGATGAGCTCCCACGGGTGGGGTTTATCCACCCTTCTTGGGAAGGTGGGAATGGAAGGCCGTTCCCTCGGGGGGTGCCGTGGGTGGAGGGGAGGCACAGGGTGGAATTTCTAGAAGGTTCCATAAACATTTCCTGGAAAACCCTCCTGCGGCGGGCGCTGCTGGCACCGCGCTTGGTGCCCTGCCGGGGAAGCAGGTGCCGGGTGAGCGCCCGCCGGCTCGGGTTTCTGCCTGGCATCAGGGGGGCTGTTCCCTGCCCTCCTCCTCCTCCTCCTCCTCCTCCTCCTCCTCCTTTTCCTCACACCTTCACTGTATGATTCCCCCCTTTCCCAAAATTCCCGTCCCTTCTCCGTGTGGAGCTGCAGATGCTGGTGGAGCATCAAGACAATCCCTCCAACTCATCCCGATGGGACACCACCCTCTCCATGGGGTGAGGGGTTCCCTGCCCTCCTCCTCCTTGTCCTCCTTCTCTTTCTCAAACCTTCACTGTATGATTTCCCCCCTTCCCAAAATTCCTGTCCTGCCTCCACATCCAGCTGCAGATGCTGGTGAAGCAGCACCAGGACCATCTCAGCAGCTCATGGGGTTCATCCCAATGGGACACCACCCTCTCCTTGGGGTGAGGGGTTCCCTGCCCTCCTCCTCCTTGTCCTCCTCTTTCTCCCATCCTCACTGTGTGATTCCCCCCTTTCCCAAAATTCCTGACCCTTCTCCTTGCAGTGACATCACATCAAGCTGCAGATGCTGGTGAAGCAGCACCAGGACAGTCCCACCAGCTCATGGGGTTCATCCTGATGGGACACCACCTTCTCCATGGGGTGAGGGGTTCCCTGCCCTCCTCCTCCTCCTCCTCCTCCTCACACCCTCACTATGTGATTCCCCCCTTTCCCAAAATTCCTGACCCTTCTCCACATCCAGCCGCAGATGCTGGTGGAGCATCACCAGGACCGTCCCACCAGCTCATGGGGTTCATCCCGATGGGACACCACCCTCTCCACGGGGTGTTATTCCAGCGAGGGGTCCCCAAGCCACCAACCCCCCAGCCCTGGACGCCGTAGGGACATCCCTGGAAGCCGAGGCAGCCCCTCTGGAAGGGTTAACGAGGCTCCAGAAGCGGAGAGTGACGTGAGCCCGAGGCCATCCCGAGGCCACCAACCTGGTTATGTCACTTGACCCCCTGTGAGTAAACTTAGCTGACGGCCCTGGCGTGTCCAGCAGGGTTTGGGGACATGCCACGGGCACTTCCTAAAAATACCCACGGGGGAGCGACGGCCCCGTTGGATCCCGGCCCGGTTCCTGATCCCTCCGTGGCTCCCATCCCGTGGCGGGTGGCAGCTGCTGGTTGAGGGGGGGGAGGTGAGGGGAGAGCTGGGTGCCCCCAGGGTGGGAGTAGCTCCGGGCAGGAATGCGGTGCCAGGGGTAGGGAGGTGGCACCCCGTCTTTTCCCGGGGCAGGATCCCAAAATTCCTCCCCACGACGTGACTGGCGACGGATTTAGGGTGGCACAATGAAGCAAAAAATCACTGAGAGAAAAGGGTTTTGTTTTTTTTTGTTGTTGCAAAATCATCCAGATGCCCTTTCTGTCCCTTATTTTGTCCCCTCTGTCGGGCTGAAGGGGGGGGGGGGCGTTATCCCACGCCCGAGTTTGGGGTTTCCCATGTGGGATATTTGTGTCCTTGGTTATCCAATGTGGGATAACATCCAGCACCATCAGGATCACAGCTGGGGCTTTGCCTGTGACTGTGACCCTTCCCAGGAGGGGATGAATCCCCCCCCCACAGCTGCCCCAACAAAATTAGGAGGAGAAAGGGGGACCCTCCAGGGGCCGGAATGATGTGGGATTTGAATTGCTGGGATGCAGCGGGATGAGGGGTTTCATCAAAAACAAACAAACAAACAAACAAACAACAAACCCTCCTTTTTTTGCATCAATTCGGCCCAAATAATCCCTGCTTTTGAAGGGTCAGTGGAGGGCAGTGTCCCTTGTCCCCAAGTCCCCAGGCAGGGATGGGCAGGGACCTTCACCTTTCCCATCCCAGATAAACTGCCTGTGGAATGCAGTGGGGTGGGATGCGGCCGGACTGGGATAAAGTGGGAGCCGGGATTCAATCCTGGACCGCGAGGGGGTGGGTGTTGACGCCTCTGTGGGACGAAGCCGCTCATCCCTTAGGATCGGGTGGGACAACTCCAGGGCCACTCCCCCTCGTGCCTCAGTTTCCCTGCAAGTCCCTCCCATCCTGCGGCAGCCTCGTGGTGACAGGAGGAACAGCGAGGCCACGTCCCCTCCAGGGGCTCATCCTGATCCCCTAAACCTCCCGGCCAGCTTCCCCTCGGCCCCGGGGACTCCTTTTCCAAGCGCTGGGGTGGCGATCCCGCTCCTGGAGCCGGTGCCACTCGCGGCCGCGTGCCACGCGCGGGGTGTCACCTCCGGTGACACAAAGCCCGAGCGGAGCACGGGGAGCCGGCTCTGGCGCTCGCGGCTGCTCCCTGCCCACCACCACCTTCTGGGAGCATCCCTAAAAATCCCCAAAAAATACCTATATTCGGCTGTACCACACGGCCGTGCAGGGAAGGACGTGCGGCCGCTGCCGAGGCGGGGAAGGGGCTGCATCCAGCGAGGGGGAAATCAACCCCAGTCGGGGCTCCGCAACCCCCTTTCTGAGCCTTTCCCACTTTCGGGGGAGGCAGGAAAACATGATTTCTTTGCTCTTTTCCCCCGCTCCCGGCTGTCGATGGGGGATTTGACGGCTCACGGCGGCTCTAGGGGTGCCCGGGGGGGGGGTAGGGGGGTTCAGAGGTTGCCCCCCCACCAAAAAAAAAAAATAAAAAATAAACCCACTTAGATCGACAGCTGCCCCGGGGGCGTTGCCATGGGGATATGCAAATCCCAGCGTGCTGATAAGGTGGGATGGATTATCCCCTCCCCCGTAGGAGTGTCTGCGCCGCCTCCTTTTCCCGTATAAAAGGCCGCGGGTTCCATTGAGCGCCCGGCGGCGGCGGCGGCGCCGGTCGCGGGCAGGGCCGGGCAGGGAGCGGCCCCCGCCCCCAGCGCGCCGGGTCCCGGCGGGACGAGGAGGAGGAGGAAGAGGCAGGAGAGAAGGCTCAGGCTCGCAGCCCGGGGAGGTGGGGCCGGGGCAGGTGCCAGGGGGAGGCAGGAAGGGGCGGGCAGGGCGCTGCCCGCTCCTCGCCATTGGGAAGCGGCCGCAGGCAGCGCCGGAGCCCGCCCGGCCCCGAGCGCCGAGCGGCGGCCGGAGGAGGGTCCCGGAGTCCGGCGCCGAGCCCCGAAGGACGGAGAGGGCTGCCCGGAGCCCCAGAGGAAGGTCCCGGAGCCAGGATTAGCCCCGCTGAAGCTCAGCGCCAAGTCCCGTCGGAGGCGAGCACCGGAGCCCGGCTGAGCCCGGCAGAAAGGTCCCTGAGCTCGGCTTAACCCGCGGCACAGCCCGGTCGGAGGGTCCCAAAGTCCGGCTGAAATCGCAGCACAGCCCTGTCAGAAGGTCCCGCAGCACAGCCCTATCGGAGGGTCCCCAAGCCCGGCTTAACCCGCAGCACAGCCCTGTCGGAGGGTCCCGGAGCGCGGCAGCGGAGCCCCGTGGCGGGGTTGCGGAGCCCGGCTGAGTCCCGCAGCCGAGCCGGGCTGAATCCCGCCCTAAAACCCCGTCGGAAGGTCCCGAACCCCTCTGAGCCCCACCGGGAAGCTCCGTCAGAAGGTCCCGCAGCCCCGGCTGAGCCCGCAGCGGAGCCTCGGCGGAGGGTCCCGGAGCCCGGCGGCGGATCCGCGTCCGAGCATCCCGGAGCCCCGATAAACCGCGCAGCAAAGCCGCATCGGAGGGTCCCGCAGCCCCGATAAACCGCGCAGCAAAGCGTCATCGGAGAGTCTCGGAGCCCCGATAAATCGCGCAGCAAAGCCCCATCGGAGGGTCCCGCAGCCCCGGTAAATCGCGCAGCAAAGCCGCATCGGAGGGTCCCGCAGCCCCGCTGAACCCGCAGCAAAGCCCCGGCGGAAGGTCCCGCAGCCCCCCGGGAGCGGGGCAGCCCCGGAGCCCGCTCGGAGGAGGCTCCCGGAGCCCGTCGGCGAGCGGCGGTGCCCGGGGGCTCCCCCCCCGGTCCCCCTCCATGGACTGAGATGGCCTCGGAGCTGGCCATGAGCGCGGAGCTGCCCACGAGCCCCCTCGCCATCGAGTACGTGAACGACTTCGACCTGATGAAGTTCGAGGTGAAGAAGGAGCCGGCGGAGGCGGAGCGGCTGTGCCACCGCCTGCCCGCCGGCTCCCTCTCGTCCACCCCGCTCAGCACGCCCTGCTCCTCCGTGCCTTCCTCGCCCAGCTTCTGCGCCCCCAGCCCCGGCGGGCAACCGGCCCCCGGCCCGCCGGCCCCCAGCGCCGCTTCCCTGGGCTCCAAGCAGCAGCTGGAGGAGCTGTACTGGATGTCGGGCTACCAGCACCACCTCAACCCCGAGGCTCTCAACCTGACGCCGGAGGACGCGGTGGAGGCGCTGATCGGCGCTCCCCACCACCACCATCACCACCACCAAGGCTACGAGCCCTTCCGGCCTCAGCCCTTCGCGGGCGAGGAGATGCCGCCGGCCGCCCACCACCACCCCGGCCACCACCACCACCACCACCACCACCTCCGCCTGGAGGACCGCTTCTCCGACGACCAGCTGGTGAGCATGTCGGTGCGGGAGCTCAACCGGCAGCTGCGGGGCTTCAGCAAGGAGGAGGTGATCCGCCTCAAGCAGAAGAGGAGGACCTTGAAGAACCGCGGCTACGCTCAGTCCTGCCGCTACAAGCGGGTCCAGCAGCGGCACATCCTGGAGAACGAGAAATGCCAGCTGCAGAGCCAGGTGGAGCAGCTCAAGCAGGAGGTGACCCGCCTGGCCAAGGAGAGGGATCTGTACAAAGAAAAATACGAGAAGTTGGCCGGCCGGGGCTTCGCGAGGGAACCCTCCCCGTCCGCCGCCCCCAAAGGCGCCGCCGACTTCTTCATGTGAGCCCCGCGGGCTGGTGGGATGGGGTGGGATCCGCTCTCCGCTCTCCCCCTCCTCCTCCTCCTCTTCTTTTTTGTTGTTGT